AATCGATAACTTCACTTACCCAGTTGATTTTCAAATCATGGATATACCCGAGGATGAAGAAACTTCGATCATACTTGGCCGGCCGTTCTTGCTTACTAGTCGGTGCAATATTGATGTGGAAAAAGGTACGCTCACTTTGAAATTTTTTGACGAGGAAATCACTTTAAAAACTCAAGAGGGTCGAAAGAAAGGTAAGGAGAAAGATGTCAAACCTTCAGTTGGGAAGATTAACACAACTAAGAAGGGAGAATGATCAAAACCATTTCAAGTTGCTCTTATCTCTAAACCGACACAATATTCTGTTGCGAAGAAGTCAAGCAATAGAGTTTGGAAGTTGAAGTACCCCCCATAATAATGGGGAGTCGATCGTCGAGTCATGCGACGTTAAACGAAGCGCTGCGTGGGAGGCAACCCACGGTTTTATGAATTGATGTTGTTTCTTTTGTTGTTATTGTTTTTGCAGGAATAAACGAGATTTTACAAGGGAAAACATGGAAGCAGCAAAGAGGTACTGCATTACCTGTCGACCCCTCTGTGAGGATCTCTGTGAGTACACCTCTTCTTCTCTTGATTCTTGAACATTGAGACAATGTTTAGTTCAAGTTTGGGGGAGGTTTTACCGTTTTGAATTGTCTATTTAAACACCTTTTTATTTTTAAGTTCGGTAAAAATCACATCGAATTCGCCCATATGGAGATCATAAATTTTTTTCTTGTGATTAGTAGGTGTGTAAGGTAGTCAAGAAAGTATTTAGAGTTCAAGGGAAGTGGAGTTTGAACTAAGGAACTTGGGAAAGTTTGGAAATTGAGGTATAACTTGAACACCCTAGGTTCCCCAGAGTAAGGAAACAAGTCCAACGTGTAGATTTGTGCCATAGTACTTGGATTTGAAAAGTATACCCCGATTAGTTCATTGTGATAGTCCTGCATAATAAATAAAAAATTTGTTTTGAGAAGGATGTGTGGCAACAAAAAAAAAAGAGTTGAATAATGACGGTAAAGACAACCTATCCTTCTAAGTTGGGTAACCCTCACCCGGTTATTTAGCCTAATGGCGGTTGAATCTCTATAGTCGTCCCAAAGTGGACTAATAAATGCCTGTGAGCGAGAAAAAGAATAAAGGTGCCACAGAAAAAAATCTCGAGCAAATGTGCATGCCTTAATCTGATTATCCGAATGAAAGGGATAGAAAATCGAAGAAAAGACTTAAGCCCAAAGCATAGTTGGAGAGGTGGCCGAAAGGGAGATTTAGGTCCGTAAGTTTACTGCGGTATGTGTTTATGTAATGCCTTTGTTAACGGATGAGTACCGAAAGAGCTGATTTGAGCCGATCGGAACTAAGACTCACGTATGAGTATCGACACGCCTTACACCCTGAACCCTTCACTTGATGTACTGTTTGACTTGAAAATTATTTATCCAAGTTTTTTGCTTGAGGTCAAGCAATGGTTTAAGTTTGGGGGAGTTTGATCGATGGTTTTTACACGTTATTTTACAGTTTATTTCAGTTAATCATTTGTTTTGTCTTGTCGCATTTTAGTTGTTTTTATCACATTTTACGCGTCGATTTGGTATTTTTACTGTTTCTAGGTTCAGGTATACAATAAAGGAGAAGCATAGCGAAAACTGGGAAAAAAATGGCAAGATTTCGGAAGAGTTTTGTTGTGAAATCTTTAGCAGTCTGCACGAAAACGATCATAACTGGAGTTCCGGGAATTCGTTTGAGGCGTTCTAAAAACCGCCGGAAAGCTAAGAGAGAGAGCTACGACTTTCGTGTTGGAGTCAAAGTCAGATTCGAAACAGGGGTGCAACACGGGTGCCCGTGTTGTGTGACACGACCCGTGTTGCAGGATTTGCTCAGAAAAGGCGATTTTTGGAGAAAAAACAGTAGCACAACACGGGTGCCCGTGTTGTGTGACACGGCCCGTGTTGTGACACCTGGGACTTGCAAATTTCACACTAAAAATCTTTCAGGAAGGCAACACGGGCGCCCGTGTTACCTGACACGGCCCATGTTGCAGGAAGCGCTTTTTTCCCTATTTTCTTGTATTTTTTACTCTTGTGATCCCCGAGGGTATTGTGGGTATTTCCCTAGTGATTAGTTTGAATTAAGACTATTTGATACGTGTTTGGGGAAAGAATAAGGATTGGACTTTTGAACAGAAAAGAGATTTGGATGATAAAGATTGAAGCGATCAAGGATTTGGGAACAGAAGATCCTCATGAGCGGAAGCGATTGAAGATCAAAGCAACCAATTCTCTTGTAATGTTAAATTTTATTGTTGATTTTATCTTTATTATTATGAGTAGTTAAACCCCCCAATGCTAGGGGGTGTCCCTGAATTGACTCTGTAATAACCTTGTTTCCTTTGAATAATGGATTTCACTACTTTCTAATCATCGTTGTTATTGTATAATTTTCTTATGGCTTTTCTTATTTGACAAATAAGGATTTGTTTTACGGTTAACCTTAGGTTTGGAAAAACGATCGTTAACGCGTTTATACGATAATACTATAGTAGATATTGGCTAGGAATGGGGATACCCTATAGTAACCGTAATGTTTTAGATAAAATATGTTGCTTGGGATTGTTCCTATACCGCCAAGGAATTGGGGCATAGGAAGAATATCAAAGAGTTTTCTACTAAGGAATTAGAGTCAACTAATCTTTAAAACCGATAACGATTGAATTGAACAGTGATTTCTGAAAAATAAGGATTAAGGTTATTACAAGGTTTTTTCATACACCATACTCTAGCATGCTTCTCATAACTGTCTAAACCTTTATTTGACTGCTTTTGCCTTTTGGCCTTTAAAATTGTAAGAAACAAACCAAAACCCCTATGACTTTTTGTTCAATTGTATTATTTTAGAACTTTTGTTCATACGCAGTCCGCGAGATCGATATTCGGGGAATTTCCCCTTATTACTACATCGGTACAATTAGTACACTTGCTAATTTACCGGTCAATCTTCCACGCCGTGGGATATTGTTCATTCTTTCACGAAAAAGGAGTTATTGAGGGATAAGTTAGGTCTCCGTGGTTATACATTTTCTAATGTTTTCTTTTTTTCTTCAGCTTTTTAGGAATAAGGTTTAATCCCCCTTGTACATATTTTTTTTCTTTTTATTTATATATTTATGAGATATGGGCATACGATGAGGGAGAAAACGCGTGTTAACATAGTTGAAATGTTTAACCTCTCCTAAATGTCTTAATCCTCATTATTCATTTAATTTTTTTAGTGTTTAATAAAACTAATGATAAAATTAATTTTATAAATATAAATAATTTAAAAAAATTTAATTCTTGACAATTACATACTACAACAACAACAAAATTTTATTCCATTAAATAAGGTTGGTTACACAAATCAAATTATATCATAATGTTCTACCTAATATTAGGTTTCTATCCAATTCTTTAATTTCAAAATTTTTTAATAATTTATTTTATACAATTTTTCTAGGTCTTACGCTACTTCTAGTTTTTTTTTAAACTTCTATCAATATGATATATCTATTCTTCTTACAATAGAATATAAGGTTATATGATTGTAGTTTTCCTAAATATTCCATATTTCATTTTTAGTCCTTTAAAATTTTTTTCTTAAAGAATGATCTTCTTAAAAATTTGCATCCATAATTTTGATCAATTCTACAACTTAACGATGATTTTTATAATTTAACGACAAAATTAACGACAATTTTAACAATGGTTTACTACTTTGCGATGGTATTGGCGATTATTTTAACATGAGAAATCAAAAGTGTGGATGAAAAATTTTAAGAGGATTTTTTTTAAAAAAAATTTTAGCAATTAAAAGAGAAATATGAAATATTAACCCTAAATTCACTTATTTTTATGAAGGTCTATTTTAGCAACATGCGTCTTTGTTAATGTAAATTTACTTATTTTTATGAAGGTCTAGTTTAGCAACATGCGTTTTTGCTAACATATATTCATTTATTTTTATGAAGGTTTATTTTAGCAACATGCGTATTTGCTGATATATATTCACTTATTTTTATGAATGTCTATTTTAACAACATGCGTCTTAGGGTGTATTTAATAATTTTTTAGTTAAAATTTACTAAAACACACATTCATAAAAACAAATGGATGTTTTATAGTAAATCCATGTGGAGTTTGGAACTTCTATAAACTCGCAAGACAAAAACTCAACACACAGAAAAAAAGTTATCATCCATTTTAAAATCCAACATTTAGATTTTTTGATAAAAAAAAACACACACATACACACACACACATATATATATATATATATATATATATATATATATATATATATATATATATATATATATATATATATATATATATATATATATATATATATATATATATATATATATATATATATATATATATATATATATATATATATATATATATATATATATATATATATATATATATATATATATATATATATATATATATATATATATATATATTCAAACCTTTTCACTAGTTTTTTTAATTATAGTTGCTGCTCAAATATTCTCTCTAATGCTGAAAAAAATATGAGTTACAAAATTTAAAATATAAACCAGTTGAATAAATTAATTAGAAAACTTATAAATTAGTAAAAATAAATTCAAAACTTATGGGAAAATGAGAATTAATAAGAAATGAATATGTTGAAGCCTATGAATTTATTAAAATTTGAAGTGATAAGCTATAAAGTCAAAAGTGACATTGGCAAACAGAGTGTAAGGCTTTAGCCCAAAGAAAGTGAAATAAGACAGCAACCTCAAAAGTGGAAGAAAGACTTGTTTCTTTCATTCTGTTTTTATTGTTTTTCACTTCCCCTCTCAATCCATCTCCTAATAACAACACCACCAAGCCTTGGCACTATCATACACAGTCATGCTGTTACTTCACATTACTCACCCTCTCTCTCTTTTCCTTCATAACCACTAATGCTAACACCATCATCATACCATTTCACAAACCTCTATTTTGCAACCAGAAATGGCAGTACAAGACCATAACTACGAATGGCCACCAACTGGTGCACCGTTTGACCTTCACAGAGATGAACATTGGACCAACTTCGACAGCTCTGTCAATGCTGTTTCTTTTGGATTTGTAGCTACTGCTATTCTCATTTCCATGTTCTTAGTCATGGCTATCTTTGAGAGATTTCTCAGACCCCTTTCTCCTCCTATGTCACCCTCCACCCGCCGGACCCACCGTGACATCGAGTCTCAGATGGGTTCCAACGGAAAACTCTCTCACCCATCACCCAAAGTAAGTAACCACTCTAAAAACTCTCTTTTTCATCTCTAGTTTTTTCAATTTTCAGTCATACCAAAAGGGGTTTCCCAATTTTTTATTTTATGTAAGTGTCAGAATTTTCTTTCTTGTTTAACTGACAATGCAGAATGTTGTTTTTTTCTCTCCCAATTTGGTTGGTTTGATTTCTGAATAAGTGATTATCTTCTAACTGACTTGAAAAAAGCTGTTATTCATATCATTTGCTGTCAAATATAGTATGTTTCTTCTTTCAGAATGCTAGATCTGAGGTTTTTCTGTTGTTTTCTAGTAATGAATTTCTCTAGCATGTTTAATAATAAAATCTGTTTTTGATAGGTGTCTTTCTTTGGAGAGTTTCTGTGCATTTTTTCTGTTCATTTGGAGTCATGGTTTTCCCTTAGCTGTTTCCCTAGTGTGGCTAATAATAAAAGGATGTTGCTTTTCTCTTCTTTAATGGTCAAAAACTTCAACTTTTTAAGCACTTTTTGCTTTTGTGAAATAAAATTATATCTATCAATAGTTTTTGCTTTCATAATTGAACCCAACTTTCCTATTGAATGGAAGCTAGCTATCTATCTATCAGATCTGAATTTAGCAATGGCTCACTGATAATTCAACTTAGTAGCTTTTCCACACACTATAAGTGTTTTTTCATTTGCACGTTCTGTCAACAACTTTCATCATAATTTATGATGGAACTGTAATTGTGTTCAAGTTTTATGAGGAGGTGGTGGTGGTCCTCCTTGCAAGCTTTCTACTTAACAAATTGGTCCCTAGCTATAAGAGTTGATATTTATTTGTACTCCTTTTTGTGGTTTGTTTTAAGACCCACATTGTCCTTTGGTTCTTCATTTGCTTCAACAACACCTCTATTCTTTCATGATTGATACCGGGCATGGTAGGTTTCTGTCTGTAGTCTGATCCACATGGTCAATACTCACACACTGCGCAACAACCATTTGTGCTAGACTTAGCAGTATATGCTAGGCTTATCTTTCCTTTTCCGAGAACTCGGTATTCTGGAAATTACAACACTCACACACGCTGCGCACCAACCACTCCAACCACTTGTGCTATACCTCATGGTAAATGCCAGGCTTATCTTTTAATAGAGAAAGTAACCATATGATATATTGTACTCTTTGTTTTATGTATCTTTTCTTAGCTTAAAAGCTACCAATCTCAGCTTCAAAGTAGAATCAATTCTACTCGAGAGCAACCATACATGTCAAATTCAATTCTACACATTCAGAATCAATTCTAAGTGAAACCAAACATACACCTGTACACTTTTAATATGATGAACTAGTGTCTTGTAACTGTAGTGTTGTCTACCTTGTGCAATTTCTTTTGTGGAACACCATGGCCCTACCACCTACTAATCAAATTTGTGTTCAAAAGAAGAGCACAACTTGATAGTTGATTAGGACAATGTCTCTAGTATTAGCCAATGGAGTTTAACAGAGAAACACTCCCTAACCAACTTGTCTTATATTTAATAGCTTGTTTTGTTTGTATCTTAGTTCTTGTTGATGGAATACAGGTTTAAAAATTTTCAACTTTGAGAAAATGCTCGAAAATGCTCCAAGCACTTAGATTTCTAAGAATGATTCTTTTATTGTTTATGGCAATGATACTACCTAAAGATGTTGGGTTTCTTTTTCTCATTATAAAAAATAGTGTTTTAGTATTGTATTACTTTCATTTTGATTTTTCTTCATTCTGCAGATGAGTGTATATTCGAGCGAGGTTTCGGTTTTGATGCCTGGAGATGTGATTCCTACATTCATTGCTCACCCTGCTCCATGTTGTCCGGAGCGGATCACGTGGCCTTCTCATCAACATAACACGTTACCTTGTTCGACTTCGAACACTAGGCCTAGTAATATCAATGAAGTTCGAGGAGTCTGAATCAATGCGACAAAGTTCTGCATCAAAGGGGTTGATATGCATTTTTAACTAGATGATGAGTTCTCTTTTATAGTTTTCTTACATATAATATAGGGTTTAGTTTAGGTTTTGCAATTGGAGTACAAGATCAATTTCTGTTTAAACTTGTTTTCTTTTGATGAAAATTTGGAAGGTATTTCCTTAGTGATGTAAATCTCAGTTATCAATAGATACATTGTGTCCATCAACTATGAGTCTCTGCTAATTTTTATAATAAAATGAGTTTCATTTATTATAATACTCTTGTTAATAAAGTAGTTATTAATGTGGTAGTAGTAGTTAATGAAATAGTAAGATGATTTAAAATGACAGAAAATATAGAACAAACTTGCATCAATGTTTCAATTTATAGATGCTAGTGCAACAAACTTGTTTCATTTAACTCTATCATTAAGCTAATAATTTTGATATATTTTTACTAGTAGTTTTGTTTTTTTATCAAGATTGTTTTGATTTTTTCAGTTTTATAGATGCATTTTTTTCGCGGTTGGTGATGATTGTTCTTCTTTTGCATTTAGACTGACACTCTCGTATTTGTCTGTATTTCTTTTATTGCAATAATACATGAAAATATTAACTGTCTTTTTTCATAAATTTGATTCTAATATAAATTATTTACATAATTAAACATGTGATATTTATTTAAATATATATTAAATTTTGTTTGCAATACATACTATTTACGCATTAAACAAATATAGTGATATATATAAGAGAAAAAGAAATATACACTAATGTTGTAAATTTTATTTTACACTATCAATTAATGATAGATGTGTATCCCGTTATTTCACACTTTTATTTTTAAAATACTATTATAATTTAACGTTTTAAAATAATTTAATTAAATATTTGTGTAATATATTTTTTTTACACTGATAGGATACTATCTTTACACTATATATAATAGATGTCTTTAAGAATCAGCAAAATTCAAGTTCTATAAAAATATACAATTTAAAATATATAATATTTAAAAATAAAATAAAAATATATTAAAAATGTCAATAAAAATACATTATCCAAATTATAAGAAGATATAAATTAAATAAACAAAAGTGTATCGCTTAATTTATTAAACAAATAAACATTAACCCTAATTATATTTTTAAAAATTTAGAAAGGTCAATCATGGGATCCTAATCAAAGACATCTCTCTCACCATAGATAACATAATGAATTGATGTACTTCTGATTTCACTCTCATATTCTTTTGTTCTTATCACAATTTTCTTCTTCCTTGCATGTTTATTTATATATTCATTACGACGGGAATCACATATCACAATAGTTGAAAAATAAATACTATTATGCTGCTCTAACCATTATAAGGTAAAGTGTGATTGTATATATGATGATTTCCACCACAGACGTACAACCGTGATTATATATATGTAGCGGATAGTCTACCACACCGATTACTTTAAACAACTGTTGTGATATTCTTTAATGCAACTTATTTAACAATGATTGTGCTAAACAACTGTTGTGATATATAGACTTGCGTTTAAGATAAATTATATGGAATGCTTAATTCGCCAATGCTCATTAAATATACAATCTTCCAATATGCACTATAACATTATAATATGACAAATTAAGTTATATTAGAAGAATAAGTTCACGTTCAATGCTAGATAAGAGTACTTCAACTCTTTATCCATATTTTGTTCTTTGAAAGTAAGAACTTGATTTAATGATCCTAGTTCTTCAACTGCCCCTACATTCACCTCTAATTCTTTTTGCAAAATATTATTTACTTTGCAAACAAAACTAGAGGTAGAGAGAATAGTGGTTGAAGATCTACAATCATTAAACCAAGTTCTAACTATCAAAGAACAACATGCAGTTAGCAGTGTGAAGAATTTTTGTCAAGAGTTGAACGTGTACTTATTTTATAATACAATTTTACGTATCATATCATGATTTTCTAATACAGTTTGGAAAGTTACATATTCGGTAAAGGATTAGAAAAACACTCAAACCACATAATATATAATAAACTCATCTTTTAAACAAAAATTAACAACAACATTAATCGAAAACATTCATCAACAACAAACCATAAACAACAAACACGATACAACAAATATTTCAAGTCATAAAATGTTTCAGAAACATAACATACATGTCCTATAATGACATGTCAACAATGAAATAAGAATGAATCTAAATTTAGAGCCGCAAACTTGTGTATATTTTGAATGAATGTCATTCTAGATCTTTGACACAAGTTTGCAACACTAACTTTAGCTTCGTCCTCTTTATTGAAATAATCATCCATACCTACAAGTCAAAACAAGTAGGAAGTTCAAACATCATGAAACAGATTTTGAAAAAAAAAATCATAGAGAAAACGAACATGTTAGTCTGAAGTGAGAGATAATTTCGCTTATATATAAATAAGTATCTCATTTCATCACGGTTGATAATAAAAACTGTGGTGATATAAAAGGTCAATTACATTTTTATTACGATAAATGGCTAATTATTGGGGTTGGAATTCGAACCATTTCACTCTGTGTATCTTTCACTACTGTTGCTTTATTTTACCGTTGTGACATGTTCTTTAAAAAATAAAAAATAAAAGTTCAAAAATAGACTATTACTAAGATTAACATTATGACCGTTGTAAAATTAGTGTTACAAAAAAAATCTATTTTGTAATATTAATTTAACTAAAAATTCATAACCAACCTATATTTATATATATATATATATATATATATATATATATATATATATATATATATATATATATATATATATATATATATATATATATATATATATATATATATATATATATATATATATATATATATATATATATATATATATATATATATATATATATATATAAAAGTTAGTTTATCTATTACCTTTTTAAAATCAAATAAAATAGATAAATAAAAACCAAAATTTTTTAATGGTTTTTTCAATCTCGTGGCACTTTAAGACGTATAATAAATTATAAATCAATACTAAAATACTAAAAATGCAAAGTATCACATTACCATTTGTCAATACTATTTTAACCCAAGAATATTAGTATACCATACTTCATCAAACATGTGATTGTTTTATGTAACTATGTTTCATCTACTCATTTCATCAATTCTTTTTTACTACGACTGTGCAATTTTCTTCCAATACCAAATATTAAAGTTGTCAAACTCGCAAGTCTATTCAAACTCGTAAAGGGTTTGTAGACTTGACTCGCAGACTCGACTCGCAAACTCGTACAAGTCTATGAAAATTTTAAAACAACTTTCAAAAACCTATAAGTGACACATATATGACACACTCATATGTTTTTATACTTATAAATGTCTCGTTTACGACATAAATATATAATACAACACCAATTATCATAAAAATTTAAATTTCATACTCCATAGCATATTTTCTAACAAAAAAAACTCGATAATAAAACAAACAAAAATGCAAATTATATAGTTAAACACTTAAATTACTAATTTCATCTTAGTTGGCTACTACGTCAATACAGAAAAAAAAAATCATAAAATAGATATGTTAATAACTTCAAACATCCAAAGCTCCAGTGAAATCACCACCACCAATAAAATCACCATCATCTTTATCGGTATCTTGAGTATCATCATCAAACTCTACCTTAGGTAAAACACCTTATTCATCGTTAATCAATTTTGGATTGATTGAAGTTCCACTTCCACCTAATTTAACATTGCCACCACCGGTACCACATTGCACAACATTAGTTACAACAACATCATCTTTTACAACATTATTAACAATAACATCATCTTACTCAACATTAACTTCAATTTGCATATTTTCTTCATTATGATCTTCAATTATTCATTCTTCATCTGAATAACTATCTTCAAATGAAATAACAACACTATTTGATTTTCCTTTTCCATTTTTCAACCATAAATTGTACATGATGATATAAACCAAATTATTCACCTTTTTTTATGCAACCTATTTCTTCTCTTTGTATGAACCTAAAAATTAAATGATAATTCAACTCAATATTTCTAAAAAATTAAAATCAAGTCTATAAACAAACAAATAATAGTTCATTACCATTTCAAAGGAACTCCAATTACGTTTATAACCATATGAGCTACAAGTTAAGCTTAGAACACGAATTTCAAACCTCTTTAAATATGGAGTCATATCTCCATAGGAATTCCACCCTTCAGCAAGTAACGTATCCTTCCTAAACTATTTTCTGCCATAAATCATAAATTTTCTAAACTATTTTGTCACATGCAAATTGATACATGTGCATTGGGATCATTGAACCTGATTGGACAATAGTGCATCACCTTTACACAAGATATCATACATGAGAAACATCCAAGTGAAACATATAAGAAAACACTTACACGCAAAGAATTGATTTACGGTCACAGTCACGAACATAGCAAGAGACAGAATAAACTCACGCCGTTGATGAAGAGGGGAAGAAACTTTGTTGAAACAAGAGACTAGGAGAGAGAGAGAGAGACTTTTTTATTCTCGTACAAGCAAAAAAAAAGTTTTTTTTTTATAAAAAGTTAAATAAAATCTTTTAGGAAATTTAGGAATTTTTTGGTCTTAAAAAAACATATAGATTCGTAAACTCGTTATAGACTTGCGAGTCTATACGAGTTTGTGCGAGTCTATCCGAGTCTACTCGAGTCTATAAAAAAAAGATTATATGTCTAAGTCTACTCGATTATTCTTCCTATACTTGTAAGCTCGTACGAGTTTACGAGTCTACCCGCGAATTTGACAACCATGTCAAATACATGAATGAATAAATATCTACGATGTTGGACGTCATGTTTTACCGAGAAACCACAACAAAACGGTATTGAAAAATATTGATACATCATTTTTGTGATAAAGAACAAAATATGATTAACTCATACTAGAACGAGCACAATCAGCGATGCAATAGTATCCTAACTTTTTAAAAATATGGT